GCGCTATTGTCTTGATTGTTTATGTGGATAACATTATCCTATTTGGAAGTGACTCTTCTGAGATTACTGATTTAAAGCACTATCTAAGTCAGCATTTTCACACTAAGAATTTGGGTCATCTTCGTTATTTTCTGGCATTGAGGTTGCTCGCTCCTCCTAGAGTATTTTCCTCTCTCAACGAAAGTATGTCCTTAATCTTTTCGCTGAGACCAGTCTCTTAGGTGCTCGTCCGGTTGATACCCCTATGGATTCTTTTGTTAAGCTTCAATAGTGAGCATGGAGACTTTTTTTTTTTCTTGATGTTGGCCACTACTGTCGCCTAGTTAGGAAGTTGATTTATCTTACTGTTATTCATCCTGATATCACTTATGTTGTGGGTTTGGTTAGTTAATTTATGCATGCCCTTAGCCATCCTCACTTTGATGCCATATGTCGTATTTTACGTTGTCTGAAGGGTGCATCGGGCCGTGGTCTACTTTATCGCCCTTCTACATCATTGACTATCACCGGGTTTAGTGACGTTGATTGGGCTGATAGTCATACTGACCTTTATTCTATTTCTGGCTATTGTACCTTTGTTGGTGATAACCTGGTTACTTGGCAGAGTAAAAAGCATAATTTGTGGAATGTTCTAGTGTCGAGGCTGACTATCGTGCCATGGGACATACGGTTTTTGAGATGTTATGGGTTCGCTCCCTTCTCCATGATTTTGGTGTTTCCGTTCCCACTCCTATGCACATGTGTTGTAATAATCAAGCTACCATTTTTATTGCCAATAATCACGTGCTATGTTACCTAGAACGTGAATTGTTCCAGTACATGGAACGGGAACGGGAACATGGTACACCATATATTCCAAAATGCGGTACGATAGGAGTAGAATTATATATATTATACTTAAGAATTTAAAGTACTTCTAAAGTAATTTTCTTTTAATTATTAGGTGTCCAATAATTTTTTTTTTTCTTCTTGTAACAAATCATTTCTATTAAAATTATGACTCATTTTTGATATCTTTGTCTTATCAAAACTTAACTCACCTTAAATTTTAGTTCATATATTTAATTTTTGTCTCCCAAGGTAACATTTAAGGAAATATATTGGAAAAAATTTCGGGATCGCTTCGGATCACTAAATTTACTATTTTGGAACGAAAGTATACCATGTTTCGGAACATGCGGATCAATACGTAATTCACTAGGGTATTAGTGTTTTCTAGTAACATAGATCCCGTGTTCCATGAATGTACCAAACACATTGAGGTTGATTGTCACTTCATTCGCGATTTGTTACTACGGAAACAGTTGATGACTCCTTATGTTCGCTCTAACGACCAGTTGGGCGACATCCTCACCAAGCTAGATATGTTTGACCTCTATACCTCATGCTTCATTTCAGTGGTTGTCTACCAAGCTGGGTATGTTCGACCTCTATACTCCAGCTTGAAGGGGCATGTTAGATTTATTATGTTATTTTATTTTATATTGAGGTATTATTGTCATAGTAACATTAATGTTTCTAATATAAATATATGCTGGGTGAGGGTTTTTCATTATGACCCAATAACCTATTCTCTGTTCTTCTCTTCTCTCTTTTCTCTCCAACCAATGTCTACTAAATGTTTGAAGGGTTGCTTCAATGATTCAAATTGGTGTTGGCACTTGAGACTTGGGCACTTGAATTTTGTAGCACCTGAGTTGTTGGCCAAGAAGATGGTGAAAGGATTGTCCTCCATTGACCACCAAGGTCAACTTTATGAATGATTCTTTGACAAGCAATTCAGAAAAAGTGTTCTCAATGAGGCTATTTGAAGAGCAATGATGCTACTACAGCTTGTTCACATGGATGTTTGTGGCCCAATCAAACCATCTTTATCTGGTAAGAATAATTTCTTCCTCTTGGTCACTAATAATTTTAGCTGAAAAACTTGGGTTTATTTTCTTTAAGAAAATCGGAGGTCTTCAAAGTTATCAAAAATTTGAAGGCACTTTTCTGAAAAACAAAGTGGACCCAACATTATTTAAAAGTCTTGTTGGAAGTTTGAAATACATAACTTGCACAAGACTGGATAATATTTTTGGAGTTGGACTTGTTAGTTACATGGAAGCACCTACCATGTCACAATTGAAGGTAGCTAGAAGGATTCTTCGATATATCAAAGGTACACTTGATTTTGGTTATTTTATCCATTTTCAGATTATTTTAAGCATGAAGGCTACTGTGATAGCGATTGGGATTTCGATGATATAAGAAGAGCACTACCGGATTTGTTTTCTTTATGGGAAATGCAGTTTTTACATGGTCTTCAAAGAAACAATCCATTGTTACTCTTATCTACCAGTGAAATCGAGTATGTTGTAGTTACTTCATGAGTTTGTCAATCAATATGGTTAAGAAGGAAATTGAAGGAACTCCATATGCCACAAGAGGAGTCAACAGAGATTTTTATCGACAACGAATCAGCACTAGCATTGGTTAAATCTAGTGTTCCATGATTGAAACAAGCACATCGACACAAAATATCATTTCATTAGAGAATGTGTAACTTACAAGATCAAACAGTTGATATTTTCACTAAGCCCTCAAAGTTGGAGAATACACATGATTTTTCTAAAGGATTCTACGTACATAAGGCATAGGAATTGAAAGGTCATGGATGCACTTGATAAATGGTTGGATATGGTCAATGCATGAATTAGATCAAAGGTCTTCTTGGAAATGTACACATTAAATGCGGGTGTATGAACTTAGCTAGATACATGTTTTTTGTAGGCCTATATAAACCCATTTACTCTAGATATTTTGTTTCAAGTGGAATGAAAGTTCCTATTCTCTTGCTCCACTTCTCTCTCTAAGCTTGTTTGTGTAAATTAATCTCCATTTTCCAACAATAACTCAACCTAAAAGGGGAAGATTTTCCATCTATTTTGTATCCTTTTGGCAACATGACAGACTGGTAAGGCAGGGGATTGAAATCCTGTTTTCCCAATTCAAATCTGGGCGTTTCCTGATCAACAAAATACTCAAAATCTCCTATTTTGTCCTGCTGATATAACTAGCCTAATTCTTCCCAACAGAAGCAGAGGAAAGGGGCTGTCGATACTTGTTTAATTGCTCTCTCTCTCTCTCTCTCTCTCTCTCTTCCTTTTATCCTCAACTTCTCTTGATCGGAGAATGGGATTCTTATCACATTTCTGCACAAGAGATGATATCAACCCAAAAAACAATCTCTAAAAATTCACATTCATTTTAATTAGAAGGCTGTTAGGTAGGGATGCACTAAATTTAGTTGCATCTTTAGTTCAAGTTGTAATTCAGCAGGTGATGTAATCATGTAATGATGGATGAAGCAGACAGATAGGGTGGATTAGAAGAGAGATTTTTAGGAGTGATGCTATGATATGACAACACCACCAATTATTTCTAGGGGACTTTGGTAGAAAGAAAAGGAAGGGGGAGGGCTTCAGAGATTCACTATTACTGGACTACATTTAAAGAAGTGTCACCGAAAGAACTGAATAGACTACTAACCTAACATATGTCCCATTTACATGAAATTTTTTCAACCTTCTAGATCAAGACTGGTTCAAACATGCAATCAAAGTAAGTCACCATTCAGCAATATAGATAAGCTGAACCACCTCAAAGCTTCTAGACATCACATGAGAAAACACTGATTAACAACATGGAGGGAGGCAAAAGAAAATGGCAGCCCCTCTATGAAGAAGAGAATCAAGAAATAGACGATGAAGAAAAGATCGAAAAATTCTTTGCGATAATCAAAAGGTTCCAGGATGCGCACAAAAGCACAAACGGTTTGCATGAATTGAAGGAGGCAAGTTGTTCGCTGAAGAAGGCCAAAGGCCAAGAAGCTGTTTGGGTTCCTTCATTTGAATGGGAGGATTTTTTGGAACAAGGCTTTAAAAAGGAAAAATGCCTACTTAAAACAGATGTGTTAGGCCATGCAATAGTCAACTTAAACTCTTCGACAAAGGGCATGCAGGAAGAAGAAGGGAAGAAGGAAGACGAAGGGAATGGGTTAGATCTCAATCTTACCTTGTAATGCCTAAAGAAATCAAACAGTAATCTGAGGTAAAGGACAAGCTTAGTGAAGCAATTAATGAATGTAGTAACAAAATGTCAAATTTGGATGTAATTTTGGAACATGGTTCTGCAAGGAAATCTGTTTCAGTGTGGTCCTGCCTTTCTTCAATGATGTTTGTCAAGAATTTTTGAAGAACAGGCATTGAAAAACTGTATGTTTGAATGTTTCCTGCATCTTAATGAAAATGAACTTGGTTCCTTCCATGGTACCAATTGTTGAAAAATGGGATACAGAACTCTTTACACCACCTAAATATTTAAGTACAACCTAACAATTTATGGGTGAAGCAATGTTTCCTGTGAATCCAACACCAATAGCATTAGTTTACTAGGTTTGTGTATGTTGTTAACTCATGTCCAAAGCGGTTAGGTATGAGATGCCTCTAACCATCAACAAAAAGGTTGAATAGGAGACAGAATTATAAAGGGATTTGTTAGGTAATAATGTTTTTACTTCTGGAAATTTTTTTATACCTATATTCTAACTCAGATTCAAACCCGATCTGATCTCAGTCAACTCTTTTACTTGTTGAAAAATTAAGAATAAATTCAGAGCAATTTTCTACTTTACTTTCTGATTCTCTTTAATTAAAATAAGTAGCCTTATCTGCCATATTTTTGCATAAAAGGTGAAAATTGTACCACAACATTATGTACAGAAAAGTCATATATGATAACAAGAATGCATGCTCATTCAATCTATCTATACTGAAGAAAATTAAAAAAGCACAAACATGTAAACCGTAATAAATACATCAAATAGTGAATAATATTTAAGTTCTTAACCATTCAATCAACAAGCTATGTTGCCATCCTTACAAGAACAATAAAACTGGGTCAAGGAGGGAAGAGAGGATTTCTTGGAAGGAATTAAACCAATGAACCAGACAGAAACAGAATTCAATTGTTTCATCAAATAGCATCCAAATTAGAATTGTAACAAATGATAAATACAAAATTGCCTCCTTTCCAAAAAAAAAAAAAAAGAGCCTTAGTTGATAGGAGAGAGATTTCAGTCTTTAAAACCCAATCACAAATTCAGTTTGGTTACAGCAATAGCTGCAAAATTAAACATGATGAAGGATTAATAAAGTCACACATAAAGGTTACCTTAGTTTGTATGAACTTCAAGCTTCAAAAATTTGCATGCTAACTATTATGATCAACTCTTTATAATTGCATATTCAAATACAGTTTGTTATATCACCTGAAAAAGAACAAAACATGTTGGCACAGATTTTAGCAGCCTAAGAAAGAAGTAACATAATGGAAAGTTGTGTATTTGATGAGAAGGAAACAACAAAAAAGTTCTTGGTCTATGGTGTTAGGTTGAGGATAGATCTAAGGTCCACTCAAGGGAGTTCTATGCAGCCAAAAGACAAGTAAACACAACGTACATTCTTTTCTTTTTGGCTATAAAAAGTTCTGGTGTCCTTCTAGCATATGAGATGAACCTCTATGTCCAGAAGCTATTATTTAAGTCGAATCGTGAGCCTATATAATGTAATGAAGCAAATTCAATTAAGTAACAACTAGTACCACAGAGAGGCAGCTATAAACTGGATAGTCTTGACCAATTCGAAAGATCATTCAATGTAGTTGAAATAATTGAAATTTTTCTTGTTCGGTGGTCAACGAGAACTTATAATCGGGGATCGACGAAAGATCATCTGTCTTTTTCCCAATCTTCATCTCACCCTTGTTCGCCTCACACAAAAGATCTGTTTGGAGCAGATGATCCTTTGAACATGTCAATTTTTTACATAACAACATTAATATGTCCTTTTTATTATTTTGTCAAACTGTTCAAGATTAGTCACTGTGCAATCACCAATAGTCCCTGTAAGACCACACCCGACCCTTAAAATGATGGCATATATCTGCACTTCTGCGCCCTCAAAAATAATCTTCCTCCCTCTGACTTCTGTTATTAATTTCATAGCAGCATGGCAGTCCCCACAATCCTGAAGGCTTCTCATTGCTCAAGTAGGCACACACGAGTTTTCAATTACCTGAACAAATGTTGCACTAAATAGGAAGTGCAACTTCGCACCATGTATTCCACACACCATTTGATTGAATGGTAAATCAAAATGGTTGAAAAGATGGTTCAAACTCAATTTGTCGCATCTTCCTTCCAGGTAAGAACAGTCCAGTCCAGAGCAGATAATATGATCATGGGCCTCTTGAACAATAGATTTACCACTTGCTAACTGGTGTCATATGCATGTCCATTACACCAAGACCATAAACTGAAATCACCAATAGTCCTTGCATGAACATAACCCATCCTTAAAGTGATGGAATCTATTGGCATCCCTCAATATGATCTCTCGCCCTGTGACCTTTGCTATTAATTTAATTGCAGAATGGCAGTCTCCACAAACTCGAAGGTTCTTCATTACACGAATAGGCATTCCTTCAGGCACCTTCAAAAGGCCATATGCTACTGCAAGTTTCTCACTATGATGTCCCAAGCTATGCACCTTCTCTTCTTCGTCTACATCATGAAGCACAAAGCTACCATCAGGAGAATACCCAGCTTCTCTTAACAGCCCACCTAGTTTTTCTAACATCCTCATGATCATTGAATGCTCAGGATGAGGCATGCTTTCTCCTCCAGTAAACATATGGACTTTCTTCTCCACCTCAATCCAGCTACAACCAGGTGACTTGCTCACCTTCCTTGACCTCATGTTTTTCCTCAGCTCTTCAACATCAGCCCATCTACCTCTTGATGCATATATGTTTGATAGCAAAATATACGGCCCGGAATTTTTGGGCTCGAGTTGTAAAAGTTTTTTTGCTGCAACTTCAGCCAAATCCAAGTTCATGTGTGTCCTACATGCACCCATTAAGGAACCCCAAATAATAGCATCTGGTTCAACTGGCATCTTTTCAATTAAATTCATAACCTCACTCAAACGACCAGCTCGACCTAGCAGATCAACCATGCAAGCATAATGTTCGGTTCTTGGGTCCACTAGATACTTGGTTTTCATGGACTCAAAAATTTCAAGCCCTTCTTCAACCTTTCCTGTATAGCTACAAGCTGAGAGAACTCCAACAAAAGTAACATCATCTGCTGCAATGCCTGAAGAGCACATTTCATGGAATACTTGTAAAGCTTCCTCACCCAAACCATGTTGTGCAAACCCTGTAATTATAGAATTCCACATAACAATATCCTTAGGAGAAAACCTATCAAACACCCATTTTGCCTTAACAAGATCACCACATTTGATATACATTGTGATTAACACTGAGGAAACATATACATCAGAATCAAAGTAAGATCTCAACAACTTGGCATGCACCTGTCTACCATGATCAAGACTTGCCAGGCTAGCACAAACAGACAGAATACTGATCAAAGAAGGAAAATTGGATGGAATTCCTTGTCTTTGCATCAGAGCAAACAAATCAAGTGCTTCCAATTCAAACCCTTTACGTTCATAAACCTTTATCATTGCACTCCACGTCCCATCGTCCTTCTCCCTCATTTGATCAAATACTTTCCTTGCTTTAACAACCTCCCCATTATGGCCAAGTCCTAGAATCATTGCATTGCAAGCAACAACTGACTCAATGGGCATCGCATCAAAAAGCTCCGAGGCCTCTTCAATCCGTCCGCAGTGAGTGTAACCCATAAGCATTGCTGTCCACGTGACCTCATTCTTCTCTGGCATCACCTCAAAAAGCTTCCTAGCAATGTCCACCTGTTGGTTCTGGACATAACCCGAAAGCATAGTAGTCCAAGCAATCACATTCCTGCGAGGCATCTCATCAAAAAGCTCACGGGCTTCATCCAAACGACCTTCCTGACAATACCCCGATATCATATTTGTCCTAGTAACTACATCCTTCATTGGCATCATATCAAAAAGCCGGCGAGCCTCATCAATCCGACGGTCCTGAATTAGGCCACCCAACATCACTGTCCACGATATAACATTCTTCTCCGGCATTTGCCAAAAAAGAGACTCAGCTTCTGAAATCAACCCATCCTCTACATACCCTCTAACCATGGCAGTCCAAGAAACAACATTTCTTTCAGGCATTGTATCAAACACTTGTCGAGCTTCCTTTACCATTCTGTTCTTAACATACCCAGAAATTAACCCATTCCAAGAAACAGTGTTTCGTTCAGGCATTTTATCAAACAGGCGCCGAGCTTGAGTGGGTTGGTTGTTTTGAAAGTAGCCAGCAATTATAGAGTTCCAAGAAACAAGACCCTTGTGGGGAATTTGGTCGAACACTCTTCGAGCATTCTCGATTTGGCCAAGACGAGCGTACCAAGAAATCTGAGAAGTGGCAGAAATGGGAACACTTGAACAGTAGGTTCGATTTCGGATTAACAGAAACTGCATTGGTTCACAAGAAACTAAACCGCCCGGATGAACAAGGTGACGAATTTCTCGGATTTTCAAGGATAGCTTGCCTACTTGTTTATGAGACACCGATCAATCAAATTTAGTGGGAAAATTGTTAGTATACAAGGGTGAAATGACAATCTTCATTTTTTCTTTTTTTTTAAATTTTTTTTGGGTAAATTGCACATTTATTAGTTTGACTTACACTTTATTTTAATTTTTATTATTTGAAATTAAATAATTTAATCTTTACATTTTATTTTAATTTAATTTAATTAATCATTTCATTTAATTTAATTAATAATTTAATGATTTCATTTAATTAGTTTGACTTACTTGTTTTATTATATTTTAAAAAAAAAAAATTTACGCATATATTTATAAAAAGTTTAAAAAAACAATTAAAATAATCAATTTCTAAACTAACTCTAAGTTCTATAAAAAAAATTATTAATCTAAGTAGTGGCCCAGGAAAATAATATGAGAAATTACACATCAATTAATGTTTACAAAGAGTCAGTTTGGTAATTATTTCATTTTTAATTTTCAGTTTATATTTACAAAAATTTATAAAATTATCACAAAAACTTGTTTGATAATTTTTTTAGTTTATAAATGATTGTCTCAGTTTATAAATTTGAGAAAAAATTGTAAACTTAAAAATGAGTTTACGTTGATTTTTAAATAGAAATTTAAAAATTTGGCTAACAATTTTTTTTTAATTACTATTTTTTTTTAATTAATTTTTTTTCAATCAATTTGTTTCAATTATAATGTGTATGATCCCATTGATAAATATTTTAGACATGGACAAACATGTTTTTTTGGTTTATGTTTTTAAATTTTTTTAAATATTTTGTTCAAACCAAACGCGTTTGTAATTTATGTTCCTCTAAAGGGGTTTTTATTGATAAGTCCAATTTAGAAGTGTTTTAACCCAAGAAGTCCATGAAGGAATTTTTTAACCCATTTAGTCCCATGTATGTATAGTTTTATTCCATAAAGTCCATTTTCTTGATTTACACTATTTTCTTAGACACTTATGCCCTTATATTTAATTTTGATACCCTTATAAATATTTTTTCAACGATTAACAATTTAATGATGTGAACATTTATATTTTAAAATTCACATTTATAGGAATGTAAATTGGCCCGTGGGCGACTCGAAACCCGCCCGTGAGCCAGGGCGGGCCCGGCCCCGTTGACAATGTGAATATTCACATTGACATGTTAAAATTCACATTAATAGGAGTGTAAAATTGGCCCCCGTCCCGTGGTGATGCGAAACTCGCCCGCGGCCCATGGGCGGCCTGGTTCGGCCCGTTGACAATGTGAATATTCACATTGGCATGTTAACATTCAAATTGATAAGAGTATAAAATTGGGCCGCAGCCCATGGGCGACCAAAAGCCCGCCCGCGGCCCGAGGCGGGCTCGGCCCGTTGACAATGTGAATATTCACATTGACATGTTAACATTCACATTGATAAGAGCATAAAATTGGGCCGCGGCCTATGGGCGGCCAAAAGCCCGCCCGTGGCCCGGGGTGGGCCCGGCCTGGCCCGTTGACAATGTGAATATTCACATTGACATATTAACATTCACATTGATAGGAGTATAAAATTAGCCCGCGCCTCGTGGCTGCCCAAAACCCGCCCACGGCCCGTGGAGAGAGAGGACAGCATCAATAACACTAAGGAATAGTCTATAAGCCAATTTCGAAGATCATAATCATGTAAGTTGAAATAATTGAAATTTTCTTGTTCGGTGGTCAACGAGAACTTATAATCGGGGATCGACGAAGATCATCTGTCTTTCCCAATCTTCATCTCACCTTGTTCGCCTCAACACAAAAAGATCTGTTTGGAGCAGATGATCCTTTGAACATGTCAATTTTTTACAATAACAACATTAATATGTCCTTTTTATTTATTTTGTCAAACTGTATCAAGATTAGTCACTGTGCAATCACCAATAGTCCCTGTAAGACCACACCCGACCCTTAAATAGATGGCATATATCTGCACTTCTGCGCCCCAAAAATAATCTTCCTCCCTCTGACTTCTGTTATTAATTCATAGCAGCAATGGGCAGTCCCACAATCCTGAAGGCTTCTCATTGCTCAAAGTAGGCACACACGATTTTTCAATTACCTGAAACATGTTGCACTAAATAGGAAGTGCAACTTCGCACCATGTATTTCCAACACACATTTGATTGAATGGTAAATCAAAATGGTTGAAAAGATGTTCAAAACTCAATTTGTCGCATCTTCCTTCAGGTAAGAACAGTCCAGTCCAGAGCACATAATATGATCATGGGCCTCTTGAACAATAGATTTACCACTTGCTAACTGGTGTCATATGCATGTCCATTACACCAAGACCAATAAACTGAAATCACCAATAGTCCTTGCATGAAACATAACCAATCCTTAAGTGATGGAATCTATTGGCATCCCTCAATATGATCTCTCGCCCTGTGACCTTTGCTATTAATTTAATTGCAGAATGGCAGTCTCTCACAAACTCGAAGTTCTTCATTACACGAATAGGCATTCCTTCAGCCACCTTCAAAAGTCCATATGCTACTGCGAGTTTCTCACTATGATGTCCCAAGCTATGCACCTTCTCTCTTCGCTTACATCATGAAGCACAAAGCTACCATCAGGAGAATACCCAGCTTCTCTTAACAGCCCACACTAGTTTTTCTAACATCCTTCATGGATCATTGAATGCTCAGGATGAGGCATGTTTTCCCTCCGTAAACATATGGACTTTCTTCTCCACTCAATCCAGCTACAACCGGGTGACTTGCTCACCTTCCTGACCTCATGTTTTTCCTCAGCTCTTCAACATCAGCCATCTACCTCTTGATGCATATATGTTTGATAACAAAATATACGGCCCGGAATTTTTGGGCTCGAGTTGTAAAAGTTTTTTTGCTGCAACTTCCAAGCCAAATCCAAGTTCATGTGGTGTCCTACAAGCACCCATTAAGGAACCCCAAAATAAAGCATCTGGTTCAAACACTGGCATCTTTTCAAATTAAATTCATAACCTCACTCAAACGACCAGCTCGACCTAGCAGAATCAACCATGCAAGCATAATGTTCGGTTCTTGGGTCCACTAGATACTTGGTTTTCATGGACTCAAAAATTTCAAAGCCCTTCTTCAACCTTTCCTGTATAGCTACAAGCTGAGAGAACTCCAACAAAGTCATCACTCACCTCACTGCCTAGCCGACACTTTCAGGAATACTTGTAACTTCCTCACCCAAACCATGTTGTGCAAACCCTGTAATTATAGAATCCACATAAAATATCCTAGGAGAAAACCTATCAAACACCCCATTTTGCCTTAACAAGATCACCACATTTGATATACATTGTGATTAACACTGAGGGAAACATATACATCAGAACAAAGTAAGATCTCAAAACAACTTGGCATGCACCTGTCTACCATGACAAGACTTGCCAGGCAGCACAAACAGACAGAAATACTGATCAAAGAAGGAAAATTGGATGGAATTCCTTGTCTTTGCATCAGAGCAAACAAATCAAGTGCTTCCAATTCAAACCCTTTACGTTCATAAACCTTTATCATTGCACTCCAACGTCCCACGTCCTTCTCCCTCATTTGATCAAATACTTTCCTTGCTTTAACAACCTCCCATTATGGCCAAGTCCTAGAATCATTGCATGGCAAGAAACAACTGACTAATGGGCATCGCATCAAAAAAGCTCGAGGCTTCTCAATCCGTCCGCAGTGAGTGTAACCCATAAGCATTGCTGTCCACGTAACCTCATTCTTCTCTGGCATCACCTCAAAAGCTTCCTAGCAATGTCCACCTGTTGGTTTCGGACATAACCCGAAAGCATAGTAGTTCCAACAATCCACATTCCTAGCGCGGCATCTCATCAAAAAGCTCAGGGCTTCATCCAAAACGACCTCCTGACAATACCAGAATATCATATTGTCCTGGTAAACTCAATCCTTCATTGGCATCATATCAAAAGACCGGCGAGCCTCATCAATACCGACGGTTCCTGAATTAGGCCACCAACAATCACTGTCCACGATATAACATTCTTCTCCGGCATTTGCCAAAAAAAGAGACTCAGCTTCTGAAATCAACCCATCCTCTACATACCCTCTAACCATGGCAGTCCAAGAAACAACATTTCTTTCAGGCATTGTATCAAACCTTGTCGAGCTTCCTTTACCATTCTGTTCTTAACATACCCAGAAATTAACCCATCCAAGAAACAGTGTTTCGTTCAGAGCATTTTATCAAACAGGCGCCGAGCTGAGTGGGTTGGTTGTTTTTGAAAGTAGCCAGCAATTATAAGAGTTCCAAAAACAAGACCCTTGTGGGCAATTGGTCGAACACTCTTCGAGCATTCTCGATTTGGCCAAGACGAGCGTACAAGAAATCTGAGAAGTGGCAGAAATGGGAACACTTGAACAGTAGGTTCGATTTCGGATTACAGAAACTGGCATTGGTTCACAAGAAACTAAACCGCCCGGATGAACAAGTGACGAATTTTCTCGGATTTTCCAAGGATAGCTTGCCTACTTGTTTATGAGACACCGATCAATCAAATTTAGTGGGAAAATTTGTTAGTATACAAGGGTGAAATGAACAATCTTCATTTTTTCTTTTTAAAAATTTTTTTTGGTAAATTGCACAAAGTTTGACTTACATTTTATTTAATTTTATTATTTGAAATTAAATAATTTATTCTTTACATTTATTTTATTAATTTATTTAATTTAATTTAATTAATCATTTCATTTAATTTAATTAATAATTTAATGATTTCAATTTAATTAGTTTGACTTACTTGTTTTATTATATTTAAAAAAAAAAATTTACGCATATATTTATAAAAAGTTTAAAAAAACAATTAAAATAATCAATTTCTAAACTAAACTAAAAGTTCTATAAAAAAAATTTATTAATCTAAGTAAGTAACCCAGGAAAATAATATGAGAATTACACATCAATTAATGTTTACAAAGAGTTCGTTTGTAATTATTTCGTTTTTAATTTCCAGTTTATATTTATAAAAATTTATAAAATTATCATAAAAACTTTTTTGTAATATTTTTTAAGTTTATAATGATTATCTCAGTTTATAAATTTGAGAAAAAA